GAAACGGTGATTTCATGTGAACCTTGCTGTCAACATCAGCTTTCACTTGTTGAAGCAGATGAGGACATTTCCTCCTCAGCTCTTCTGTCAGGTGGATGTTACCACAGTGGTGATGTTAACTTAACACATCATACGTTTTCTTTGCAACTATCAGGGCTGGAGACTTTTTTTATTAACAAGAGCTTAAGGTCTTGGACATCAGCTAAGAGGTGTGCTCTGTGATAGCCACCATCTCCCTCATCAGAGCCATGCGTTAGAGGTAACATGAATCTAAACCTTTCTGGTTTTCCTGCTAGTGCCACTAGACAACACTGTTGTCAGGGCTTCCTAGAAACATTTGAACACTTATATCAGAATTTCTAGGACTTATTTATACAAATTTGTGACTCATTTTTGAGATTAATGCAATGTGGGACAGTCACTAGTGTTGTATCACTTTTTACAGTTACAAAAATGTCAACCTCAGCGCATACCAAACCAAGCTCTGCTGCGAAGTCCTCATCTCAGCTGGTACTAAGCACTGTTTAGCTCGGGGTTTGTCTGTACTGTAGCCACAGTACCAGCAGAGAGCTCAGCATGGGTGGATTTGCCCTGCTTTTCAACTAGAAGTACTGCTGGGGCTCTGCTGATGCTTACAGCTCAGCCGGATGGATGAAAGTCTCTCTGTATCTCACTGCTGTGAGCACAGGTGTTGGCTTAGGAGCTGGCACAAAAGCTGGGCATAAATTGAGGTAATCTAAATTTAAAATAGCCAAGTCCCTCCTTCAAATGCAATTCCAAGTCTGAGCCTTGCTTACCTTCCAGGGAACTTGAGGGCCTGCGTGGAAAGCATTAGCTGAGGCCTCTGGCTGTGGAGACTCTCTCTTGCCTTGAGCCCTACTGTGACCCAAGCAGTGTCTGTACCACCCTGACACCTTCTCCCCTGCCATCCTACAGCACACGGAGCAAGCCCAGCCTTGCCTCTCAAATCCCTTTCGAAGGCAGCACTCCCTCTGGTGCAAGAATGGGCCAAGTCAGTGCTTCCCACTCATCCCACACATCTTTCACAGGAAAAAAACCCAACACTCCAGAATTTCTAAGAAAGCCTGTGCCCCTGCAAGAGCCTGGCTTGCACGCAGAACTCTAAAACGGCAGACCCAGCTCTCTGGTTTTTGGAGGAGCACAAGCCGATGGGTGTTGCAGCAGCCACTGCTAATGACGCTCCACCCAGCTGGTTGTGGTGAGGAAGGCAGCAGGCCTTTGCAGTGGGCCATGATGGGAACTGGCAGGAGGAAAGGGCACTGGTGGATGTAGTGCCTGTATCTTACTCCTCACTCTGTGTGCTTGGCTGGGGGCAATAGGGTGAGAACGTCTAGTCCTGCGGCGTTTTGACTTCTGCAGACTCTGAGCCATGTTTGGCTCTGACGAGAGAACGCAGGCGAGCGGTGGCCTTCTCTGCTTTTCACCCCCTGTCGAAAGAGGAATTAGTGCCATCTTCCCAGCCACCGGCTTCATTAACAAAGCCAGGCTGCTGCCTGCAGTCGGTGCAAGCCAGGCCTGCTTGCAGCCACGACAGCTCTCCTCCAGGACTTGTGGCTGAGGCAGCTGGGCGCAGGCGCTATGACAGCTCTCCTCCAGGACTCGTGGCTGTGGCTGAGGCAGCTGGGCGCAGGCGCTTTGTAATGGTGAAAACCCAGGGCTGCGTTTGCTAATGAGTACCGGCGCCGTGTCCCCGTGGCGGTGCCCTTCCAAATGTCTTTGCAGTCCGGGGGCTCCCACGCATTGGGCTTTAGGTGAACTGGGGCATGATGGAAGAGCTGCTGTGTTGTTTGAAACGGGAACGGTTTGTATTGCTTTCTGTGAGGGCCTCGAGCAGGCTGGGCTTTCGTGGTCTTACATATCCGCTTAATAAACCGTCACAGGTTGGTGTTAGGGAAGTGACACAAAAAAGATGCTGTTTGAAAACAACCTGCTATTACTGCAGAGTCTGTCATCCCTCCACCCACAAAGGTAAAATCACGTGGTCGCCTCGGACCTTGTACATGGTCACCACTGCGTATAGCTCGGCCTCACTGCCCCTGGCGTGGATCCCTCGGCATGCACTCCCACGCCCCTTGCAGCACAGTGCAAATCCTCCTCATGCTTCTCTCTCTGCCGGGGCCTTAAGCCAGGCACATTTGGGATTTGCAGTCCGTGCCCGCAGCCAAAGGGGGGTGAAGGGGTGCGTGGTGCCTGAGCGCCAAAGCAGAAAGGCGCGCTGCTCCAGCGTGCCGGCGGTGCAGCCGAGCACCGTCCAACACTGCTCGCTCTGCAGATGGCTTGTTCAGGTGGGCCAGATGGCCAACGGCAGCACAGGGCGCAGCATGACTGTCGGGGATAAAACCACGGTGTATTAGTGGCCAGCAGCAGCACAGGGCGCAGCATGACTGTCAGGGATAAAACCACAGTGTATTAGTGGCCAACGGCATCGCAGGGCGCAGCATGACTGTCGGGGATAAAACCATGGTGTATTAGTGGCCAGAGGAGTGAATGAAAGTGACTGTATTTCATTGCTTATTTGTCTGGCCTGTTTCTGGACAGAACACAGCCTGTGCGCAGGTCTCTGACAGCACCAGCACTGTATGACTTCAGGCTTTAGACCTAAGGTATTTTTGATAACAAAGGTATTTTGGAGAGCAGAAATGAATCTTCAGGCACGCACAGATTTTGTTTCTCCACCTTTTCAAGCTTTTTACTTACTGAAGGAATAAATTATTCTGTTATCATTAATTTCTGGGGTTTTTTTATTTGTGATGAAGAGAAAAAGTAATGTAAAAAGAAATTATCTGCAGCCTGTTCATTGTTGCTACTGGCTGATGTGTGAAACCCAAGATTTGAGAGATACTCGTCAGTTTTCAGTTGTCCAGCCTCTGTGAAATGCAGCAGGTACGGAGAAGTGATGAAAGGGAACTTTTTTTTTAAAAAAAAAATGCTGTCTTCAGTTTTATGTTTAAGGAGTCTCATTATGCAAAACTGTTACTTACAGACTGTGCTTACCTTGAATGCAACAAGTTATTTGAATACTTATTTCTATGTACATATGTTTTGCAGAAGTGAGCCTTGAAATGTTAATTTTGTACTGCTTGGTAATGAAGTATTGCTTTGCCAGGGTCCTTTACATTAAGAAGTGTTTACATTACAGCCTTCTTGCTGTCTCCCTGCAGCATTCCAGCATGTTTCCAGCCTCCACTCCTTCTGGCCTCTCTGATGACCCCCAGTCAGTGTCGCCATCTCCCAGCTATATGTGGTCCTCTAATGCGCCGCCTCGTTACTCGCCACCGTATTTTCCACCTTTTGAAAAGCCACCACCTTATACACCATAAAGAATGTGGGAAAGAAGAAAAAAAAATATTTGCCATTGAAATAATTGTGAACATTTTGTATTTATATTTTACTGTGGGAGGGAGCAGGAGGGTAGATACAGAAGATAATTGCAAATACAAATATTAGATTGGATTGTTCTTTCTTGCGAGACTTATTTCAGAGGTTTAACAATAGAGAATGAGGAAGGGGACATACTGCTGATGTTTTGCAGTGTCGGTGAGTAGTGGGTGGCCTAAATTCCAGCCTCCTTGTTTTACCGCGAGGTTCACGTAGTCCTTGGTTTTTAATAAAGCAATACAACACAGATGATAGATTCGGGTCTGCCTTACTCCATCTTGTGCCAAGCTGAAGTAAGGGTAGCCAAGATCAATAGTTGCCAGCGAGTATCAATCTGTTTAAGGTGAGGATGCATGCAGACAGCTCGACTTGATGCTTGTTTTGTTTGGCCTTGGGGCTCCAGTTGCTGGGATTTTTTGGGGCCACAGAACCTAGCTCACATCACTTGCTGGTTACAGCCCATGCACTGGAAAAATCTTGGGGGGAACCGCTAGAGTTAGTGACAGTGTCTCTAACGCTAATGAAAAGAGGTAACGTCATAGGGTATTTTCATGTATGTCTAGCAAAACAACTGGAATATTGCTTTTTTGAGGGGAAAAGCTTTAATGGGCAAGCTGTTTTTATTTCAGGAAGCTTAAGATAGAAGGTGAAATGCAGCTGTCTCTGAATTCTGTCTAAGTAATGCTGAAGTCAAACAGTTTGGGTGGTTGCACTGCCTAAATCTTCGTTGCATTCCTATAAAGAGCATCAGGAACTGTCCACAAGTCACTGAAACAGTGCAGTGAAAACATTATTGGGTTTTTTTTCCCCTTCTGTTTGGTTGGGAATTTTTTTTTTAAGCTTGTACTTTTAACTTTTTTAATGGACTGAATCAGCACCCTGAATAAGCACTGTTTTAGTAGCTGTGTTACGGGCTGCACATAAGGAATATCCACTACTAGTTCTCCAAGATGTAAGTCTCACATGGATAAAATTCAACACCCTGTAATATAGGATGAAACTGATAGGAATTTGCAATTATTGTTGTGACTTTCATTTAATCTTCAGCTGATGACTGTGCTGATTGATCTAGATTCCAACAGATTTTGCATGCATCCTGCATAACAAAAGGTGGTCAGCTTTATTATGTGACACAGTGTCCTGTAAAGTGTGGTTCTACTCCAGGAAGTGATTTCAGATGACAGCGTTCAGATCTGAGCTGCTCGACCTGAGCGTTCTCAACCGCTTACTTCAGGGATAAAGATAAGGTATTGACATTTTACTCCTTATCTCCTAAAGATTTAATTTCCTTGGCATCAGATTGTTGACACTAATCTTCAGTGGTCTACCTTTACTTTCAACTGATGCAGACAAAAAGGTACCCAAAAGCTAAATCCAGTTTTCAGAATTTAAAAATGGAATACATGCGGGGGGGGGGGGAAATCCAGTTGGATTTTAAACTGTGGCATCTCTCCACCTTTAATCTAAAAAAAAAAAAAGAAATACTATCAAAATGGAAAACAACACTGAAGTCTCTGATCTCACTTTTCAAAGTACACCCACACTTTATAATGCTAGTTTTGATCCTATGCATTTGCAAAGCCTTTAGGCTAGGCTATGTGTTAACCTTATCATTTCCACTGTCAAATACTAGTCAGTATATTAATAAGCTAAAGGATGACACTTTATCCAGAAGCAAACGTAACTTTTCTCCAGGAACAAAGAAATGGCTGGAAAAGGGAATACAACTCATGGGATTTAAAGCAGTAGTGTATGCAGAACATATCCTGGTGACATTTTGTTTTACGATAGATTGTTGAAGTGCAGCTCCTATAAATTTGCATACTGGAAATAAATTTATATACTAGGGCTTCATCCATTTTATATTACATTTTCCTGAAGTAAATCTTGTAAGAGATCATGGACAATTTCAAAATAGGCAGTACTTCTCCTGATAAAACTCCCCACAAAACTAGAATCAGAAGGGCACATTAATTTAATATCAGAAAACATTTTATTGCTCCATCTTTGAAATAAAAGCAAACAGTCGTGTCCCACTTCTGACAAACATACTCTACCATTTGTGCCTGTCAACTAAATAGGGCTAGAAGGACTAGGGGACACTACAGGACAGGACTAAGAAATTCATGAGGGGAACATAACTTAGTGGCAGGGAAACAATTAGGAAATAATTGTGTCATTGGTTTTGAGTTGACAAATACTAAACTTGGAAATTTTGAAATTGGAAATAGTAATTTGGAAATTATCCAAATTCTCTTTTTTTTTTTTAAGGAATATTTAAGCAAAAATTACATTGCTGCTTTAAATTCACTATAAAAGGACAAGTCCATTTTCACATTCAAAAAATTACTGGTGGGATTTTCTGTTGAATTACCCGTGTCCTTCTGCTTCAGTAAAACTAAGCGTTTAATGTAAATGCAACATTCTGCACTGTATTCATCATTTCTTACAAGAATGTCAAGATTGTGACTCATATGTACCCTTTTATTACTTTACCAAAGTTAAATAAAACTGTGTGACTTTTGTAAACATTTATAAATTGCATTTTACATTTTAGCAACTTTCCTGTTTTACAAGCATCTTTAATGTTAGTTGAGGAATTCCAGTATCATGGCATCGTGCATTTAAAAAAAAACTAAACCAAAACCAAAGAAAACACCCAAAAGATTGTATTTGCTACATTGGAAACTGGTGTTTCTACCAGGGTTAGCCAGAGACACCTTTTTTTCTTTTTTTAAAAGTTCTGTTTTTAAAAGCCCCAGATACCCCCACACTTCATAATTCTGCAGTTCTACCCACGTAACAGGGTGCCCTGACTTCAGTCACTGTAAAGTCATTACTGCTGATTTTTTGCTTAACACAGAGGCAAATAATCCAGCTAGTGCAGTGTCAGTGTCTCCTTTACTTACTTTCATGTTTACTGTATTACTTTGGGCCTAATTCTATCCTGATGATATCAGCTGCTCATTGATGTTAGCAGAAGTAGGTGGAAGCCCTATGCCAAGGAGATAAAGGCATCTAAAACTTCATTTGATAATGTTACTTATTAAATTGCATTCCTTACCTGTACTAAGTCTACATGAAGTAACTAATTTTCTCCACGTTAGCCATGGTTCACCAACAATCCAACTCTTCCAAATCATAACTGGTCCGCAACCTGGTAAGAAGAGGAGCCCTAACCACGAGTTAGCTGAAGTGCATTGCACTGGTCACTATGTATGTTCTTCCTCATTTCTAGCTCATCTGCAGTGACCATAGTAGTTGGACAGACTGTTCCACAGCAGCTCCGCCTATTCTGGGTAAGCGTATACCACAACATTCAGCTCACAATCCACAGTAGAGTTTTTCGGCTAATTCGCTTTCTTGGAAAGTGCTCAACCAAAAAAAAAAACAAAACCCAACCACCAAACCAACAAAAAAACCTCCAAACAAACACCACCAAAAAACCTAAGCCCCAAATAAAAACGCCTCCCCCCCGCAGGGGGTTCCCTGCTATTCCCAAAGACCTGGAAAAGGAAGCTACAAACCGTTGGTAATCTAACATGTTAGACTGTAGAAGCTGCGTTGTCATTAAAAAGAAACATGCTACATCTTCTTTAGAATTAAACTTTTTTTATTTTTTTGCCATAGAAAGCTCTAAGAACTAATATCAAGTATTGATTAATGAAAAGTAGAACACAACTTTAAAAAGTATGTTAAGGAAAGACTGTACAGCTATATACATTACAGATCTGGCAAAGTGATAAATGTTTCACATGGAACAGTTCCTAGGCAATAGCTGCAGAACCCAGCGTTCAATGTATATAAAAAGATGCAGAAGCTGACGACTATAAGCTGCATGCCTTAACAGTACAAAATAAATAAGCAATTGTAATTTCAATATTTGTTTAATTCACATACTGGAATGCTATGGTATGAATCCCCAAAGAAACCATACAGTGAGGATGCAGCCACCGTTACCATATTTTGCAGCAGATCCGTTAATGTTTTTATATGCATATAAATGACTGTGAGGTTTGCTACCATACTCTGTTGAAATTTTTATATAAATGCTTTTTCAGATTCAATCTTTTTCGTCCATTACCCCAAAGCCAATCTTTTTAATATTTACATAAGGTTTTTCATTAAGTTAAACTGGAAGCTAAGTGTTTACAAAAACAAACAAAAACCCAAATATAAGTGCAATAGCCAGAAATCTAAATATAAAACCTCATGGCCCCATAAAAAGTTTTAAAAGAATGGATTTAAACATGTTTCCAAACCAATAAATACTGGAAGTGAAATTAAAAAATGCTTTACATGACCTCTGGACTTTGGATATCAAAAATCACTTCCAAGGAAAACTGAAGACCCTGAGACACATGCAAGCAAGAGTCTTCTAGCAAAAATAGTTACAAAGCCCTAATTTTCCAGTTTTCCTCCAAAAAGAGACCTTTAGTAGGCACAGTTTAATTTAAGGTTTTAAATATATCAGCAGCAAATATTGATAGCCATTACGTTTAATCATTACTGAATGTACACTTTGCAATGTATGCTTAACTCCAGATGTATCATGTCAATAACAAAAATAACATTGTATTCTTCTTGTCAAAAAGTTCGGGAAGTCTCAATATAGCAGGCAGCCAGCTACGCCAGAGCCACCCGTGCTAATACAGGCAATCAATACTTATGTCTCGTGAGAATGATGTTTGACTGCTGAAACGCCATCTCGGATTCTAACATCCAACCGGTAACACTGGAAAGCATACCCCATTATGTTCAAAGGGGTCGGCAATCTGATCTGAAAATAACCATGTGTATCGTGTTCTTGGCCTACAAAACAGAAGTGCTGAGCATTACATGCGTAAGGTAAACAAATCCTCCTCTTTCTCCCATCGTTACTCATACAGATTTCTGGTACCCTTTTTTTATAGCTCAAGTTGTATTTGAACAATTTAGCATTGAAATGTCATTCTGTCTAGAGTACTGTATGTCTAAAAACCTTACCTTGAAGGTCTTAGGATCAAGATGTTTACTTAAAACATGAAAGAGAAAAGAAAAACCTTGAACCGTAATTCAAGCAGTGAAAGGTTACGGTAACTAAGTAGTACTATGCACGACGATCTTTCTCAGTCATCTCTAGAACTTGAGCAGTTTTCATATTACCATTTACAAAAATTCAACAAGTGACTACATCTGAAATGCTAAACTATGACTCCAGTAAACAGCTCTTTGTTTTTCTCAGATCTACTGTTTCCTGTTCAAGCTGGACATCTAATTTATCTTCTAAGTGCCGAAACATGTACCAATTGTAAGGAGAAAAAAAGGACAATATAATAAACGCAAAACTGAAAACAGATGACAACTAGACAACTGCAGAGAAACGATACTTTGGATTATGGTGGATAGAGGGTATTTTTTGAGTGTCGGTTTAGTCCTCGTGCTTCCACACCCTATAAAGGGGAGAGGGGAAATCCAAATCCCTGTTTCACTTAAAGATCTAGCCAAATAGGCATACAAGATCCTCAGCAGTCTCAGTGCTAAACCGATACAGCACTTAGATTATTTCATAGTTTTGAGAAGTAAATTTCAAAGCCTTCAGCTAAAAAAAAAAAAAGTATTACTTTTATCATAAGTACTACTTTTTTTAAGATACGAGACTGAAACCCTTCTTCTTGAAGAGCAAAAAAAGGAACAGCACTTTATTCCAAACTAACTACTGGCATCTTTTCCAGTAGTAAGAAAGCCTAACATTCCTCAAGCTTTGAAAAGGCAAAATTATCTCCTTCCTCAGTATTCTAAGCTTCTTCACTATTGAGCTTTGTGGTTTTGGGGTTTTTTTCCCCCCCGTTGCAAAAAGAGTAAAACATACTGGTCCAGACACTGAATACTCTGCTCACCGTACTGCCAAGTATAAATAAAGTTTGTTCAGGTTAGCCCTAACTGAGTCTCTCTTGTTGGCAAGACTATTTGCATGAAGACAGATGATTCACAGTGCTTATAAAAGCAGAACTAAGATGCTAGTTCAAAAATACACTACTTCGAAGTACTGGAACAGTTATTTTGCACCCTTGCAGTAATACATTGTTCGCAAATAAATATGAGTTGTGGGATTTTTTTTTTAAAATAGTTCCATATTCAAGAGACTATGATGAAAAAATCTGTTTTCTTGATTAACGTCTAAACACAATTCAGCATTAAAGTGCTAACATGAAATAAAGGGTTTACAGAGTAAGCATGAGTACAGGAAATACCTCAATTACTTTAGAGGAAAGATTTCTAGCTCTTTAGAAGAAATTGTACCTTTTCAAGCTACAAATCCCCACATTTCGATCAAAATTAACATACCAGAAAACACTGCCAGCTCCTTGGAAATAACTTATTCTCTATTCAAGTAAACTTTCAGATTAATTGCTTCCACAAATCACTTGCAGCTACTAATGATCCATCCAAGTGCTACCATTTGATGACTTGGTAGAACAAGTTAACTTGTTTTCACTTTAACATTTGATTTACAGTGATTTTAACAGCTCATTTAAAACAGCTGCAGTATTTCTGCACTGAATCCTTTTTCCAGCATTTAATGCGTTTCAGTAAGATTCCGGTATTACAAACTCAAATTCAGTACTTCCCTCTGATGGATTTTGTTTAAAAATTGCTTCATTTCCCTGTGGAATGAAAATGTCATCCCAGGTAATTTGTTTGGCTGGAGGGTTAGATGTTGTTCCTTCAGTGCCCTCCTTCCCTGTGCCAACACGATAAACAATTCCACCCTCGTTTATTACTGGTATACTGCTTGAGTGATCAGTAATGTACGCATACTGTCTGATCTGCAAAGACCTACAAGGATGCAATCGATAAAGCTTGGTATCTCCAGAAGGGTCTTGGCTATGAACTGATCTTATGTGGGAGGCTGTAATTTGGTAGTTGATGAAAGATTTGCCACACGTCAAGCACTGGTACCTTCGCTCACCGGTGTGGTGAATTTCATGCTTTGTACGGTATTCTGCAAGAGGAAAAACTTTGTCGCAATACCGACACGGATACTTCTTCTCCCAGGAATGAACATTAAAATGTCTCCGTAAACTCGTCAGACACGCATATGATCTCTTGCACACAATACAAATGTAGTAGACTCTTCCATCCACTATGAGCTCGTAATGGTCATCATGCTTTACTTTCATGCGTTTTCTGTTTGGAGAATCACCAGCAGATGTTTTAGGAGTTTCATCAAGCTTGGCTTCGCCTTCCTCAGAATCACCCTTTACAGGAATGACTACGTCGTATGTATCCTCACCGATATTTGCATAAACCTTACAGCCTGTGGATAGCCCCTCTATTTCAGTTGCTGTATCTAATGTTATGATTTTCTGCCCTTCTGCCACATGCTTTGATGCTATACCTGAACTGAATTCCTTGTTGTTTCCAGTAAGGACATCTGAGATTTTTATTTTAAATTCTCCAGGTTTAGAAAATGGCTCTTGTGAAAATGTAACAACCTGTTTTTTCTGTACACCTGATCCTTCAGTGGTTGCTGCCTTGGGTATAGAGGGCTGCTGAACCAAAGAGCTGCTGCTGACTGAACCAGGACTAGAGGAGCTAATGATATCGACATCATCTTCAACAACCTCTTCATCATCAACAGCAGTTGTTTCCACTTCAGTTAAGGAGCCATTATTAGATGGCTGCTGGTTCTCCTCAAGTAAATTAATTGTAGGAGTCACATGTGTTTGATGCGAGGAGCTGGCACCGAGCGACGAGTTAAGTAGAGGCTTATTTAGCACAATGATATTAGGAGTCAAATGCTGCGGTGTTGCAGAGACAAGTGATTTGGCACTTGATTGTGTTTGGTTTGGGCTTAGCTGACTGGCAGATGAAGTGAGTTTTTGAGCTGCTGTGGTGCTCGTCAAATGGGGAGAGCCACCACGGCCACATGATTTTTGGTCAGAAACTCCAGCTGGACTTGGGCAAGGCTGGTTCTGGGTTGCAGCATTTGTATCTTTAGTACATTCTTTTGGAGGAACAATCTCGGAGCAAAAAATTACATCATCATCCTCATCATCTGAATCACTCACTGTAATTTTTGTAGGCTCGTATTCTATGCCATGTAAGGAGAATGACTGTGTTATAACCGGCATCCCATCCGTTACCTCTTGACTCTCTGGCCTTATTACAGGTACTTGTGTTTCAGCATCCTTTTGACCTGGACTAGAAGTTGAAGTTTTTGAAGCACCGTCTTTGACCTCGCTTGGCATGTTTTTTCCTTCAGATGGAGGTACGCCCAGATCAGCTATGAATTTAACACCCAGCTGCTGTCCTGATTTAATCAGTTCGTCAAGTAAATCGGATCGAATGCTGATTATTTTGGAACTATAAATATAGTTAAGAATTTCTGCAAAAATTTCTGCTCTTACAAAGCTCAGTTCAACCACTTGCCCAGCGACTGAGAAAAGCTGGTGAAAATACGTGCTTGAGGCCGAAAGGATGTTTCTGTGAGCTCGAAATTTCCGGTCCTCCACGATGACGGTAACATCACAAAAAAGTCCGTGGCCACGTTGTTCATTCAAAGACTGAAGGAGCACATTAGAATACTGTGTGTCTGTTGCAGAAATCAATTTTTTCCCCTCCATTCCTACAAAGAGAAAGTAAAAGGCATCAAATTAGTAGAAGTACAGATTTATGGTTTTAACTGCATGACAAAGTTCTCACATTTACTGTTTATTCCTTCTTTTGAAAAATCAAATCTGAGATACTATTCATAAGTTTATATGCTATAGCACTCCGCAAACTTGTTTCTTATTGTTATTTGTCCGTTCACCTTCTACACAAGGCATGCGCAATTCTGAATATATCCTCTCTTCTTACCAGGTGAGGAACAGAGAAACAACTGCTTATCTGATCCAACAGCAAATAAGGTAAATTTGAAAACCAAGAAGAGGCAAGATTCAGGTCCCTCCAAAGGCTTTAAACATTATTAGAGATTTCTTTTTAATTGTGAAAATATTCTGTAAATTGTTATGAGGAAGCCCGATAACATCCAGGTTATTTATGGGCCAGACAACAAAACCTGTGCAGCTGTGTATCACCAGTCAACTGAGATTAATGAAAATGCTACTGATACTTCACTGCCTTGCCCAGAAAAAGAAACTTTTTTTTTTTTTAATTCCTCCTCATATATTTGCAAGGTTGCTTGGTGTTTGAAACCGAGATACTGAGGCAGCCCGGTAACAAAAAAGATCTGCAAAGTCAAACTAATCCATCTATCGGCACTTCCGATTCGATGCCCCCCAACAAGATGCAAAAAAACAACATCAAAATACACGAACAGCGAGTGAGAAGCTGTAAGCCCTTAATTTTACTCGTAAAACTTTACTTCCGTGCGCCTGGAAGGGCAGGATGAGATGAAGAGGCCGAGACCCCCAGCCGCCGAGCGCCAGCCTCCCCGCCCCGCCGCGCTGATGACGGCCCAGGACCGCCGGCCAATCACA